GGGCGATGCCTACGCTCACGCCCGCTTGCCGGATACCAAGATATTATGGGGCCCGCCGGCCCCTGCGAGAAGATAGCCGCGAGCCAAGGACATCTGAAGACGGCCCTGCGGGGTGCAGGCACATCGGATGGCTGTGAGGACCCAGCAAGCAGGAAACAGTCACTGGGTTTTTCTGCAGCCTGAATCCCCCCACCAGGAAACAGCAGAAGACCAGCCAGAAGAGGTAATGGTAAATAATTAATTAAAACAATTATTATTTGTACCTTGATGTGTAAAGTACAGCTGGTATTTATAGTGCTCTATAGCAGGTGCCATTCTGCATTGCAGCAATGCAGAATGGGCCCCCCTATAGAGGACTACAAATCTCAGCAGTACTTTATACAGAAATGCCGAGCGCTGTGGGAGGAGAGCGCTGTGAGCAGCCAGCGTCTCTCATCCCACACTGCTCAGCCTCCTATCACAGTCCGGTGTTCTATCGCAGATTGTGACTGTGTTAGAATGTGTAACCACTGACGTCATCACACTTTCTAATGTAATCACGTCCATTTTTTCGAGGTAGAATGTGTGACCAGTCACTTGGTCGCACATTCTAACATAGCCACACCCATTTTTTTCAGGGGTAACAATGTGTGACCGGCAAAAAGTGTATAATTCAAAGCTTTCTCCGCTGTTTCTGGGCAGATCGGCATCGCAGATGGTAATTGCAGGAGAATCGATCTGCCCCGGAACAGCTGATCGGTCCTGAAACCTCACTTCTATCCGACTTTGTATTGCACTTGCAAAGTCAGATAGAAGTGAGATTTCAGGACCGATCAATTGTTCCCGGGCAGATCGGTTCTCCTAAACATACCATCTGCAATTCCGATCAGCCTGGGAACAGCGGAGAAACCTTTGAATTCCACACCTTTTGCCGGTCACACATTTTTACCCCGGAAAAAAATGGGTTTGACTACGTTAGAATGTGTGACCATGTGACCGGTCACACATTCCAATGCAGTCACAATCTGTGATAGAACACTGGCAGAGTGGTGTGTGGGCGGAGACAGCCCGCGCTGTCACAGGAGGCTGAGCTCTCCTCCCTGCACCGCTCACTCAGCCTCCTGTGACAGCGTGTCAGAGAGGAGAGCGGTACAAACACTCAGCGATCAGTGATCGCTGAGTGTTTGTAGATAATTGAGGACATGGTATGGTTACTATATCCTCAATTATGAATGAATGGAAAGTGATCTATATCACATCCTGTCCATTCATAATTCTGGTTATAGTAAACATACTCTGTTCTTTCTCTGTATTAAATAAATCTGCTAAAATATTTTTTCAATCTATTTTTTCAACTTAATTTTTTTGTGGTTGCTTCAGGGGGTGTTGATTGAGGAGTTTGTGGTTTTTTTTGGGGGGGGGGAAACAAAATCTTGCACCAGGGCCCTTTGTTCCTTAGGTCCGCCACTGATAGAGTGTAAATGTTCCTCTACCTTGGCTACTTGTTTACAGGGGGCAGCAGCAATCGGCTGAGCTGCCTGTTATTGCAATCACGGTAGGTCCGCGCTGATGGTAGGTTTGAATGGGGCACAACTTAACTAAAAAGACATACACCTCATCCCTGAGACTGGGGGATTGATCAGCAAAGTTGTCACTGCAATCAATAGCAGGAGCCATTTTTGGATATATCTACTGATTTATTTATTTTTTTCTTGGTTTGTTTTTTGTTTTAATCTACCCCTTTTCCTAAGTACAGGTATTCCTCACTTAACGACCGAGTTCCGTTCCTACGACCAGGTCGTTAAACGGATTGGTCGTTAAGTGAGGAACTCTATACAGTACTATACTGCATTAGTACAGTACTGTATAGCGTTGCCGATGTACAGTACCGAACAGTGTACTGTACATCCGGCAATGGAAATACTTACCGAGACCTGCAGTGAAGATCGGGGGATGTCACTTCCGCCGGCGACCCGTCGCACTGACGCTGACGCGGAAGGTCGGAGGTCGATCGGCGG